GAGAGGAACTGTCTAGCATTGCACAGCTACATACTACATTTATCAACAAAAAAATGCTGTATAATAAGTAGGAAACTTGTTACAAGTGTAATTGCCACAATTTATATATATTAGGGTGTCCCAAAAAACAACATTTTTGAAAAATATATGCTGCCACCCATTTATATGTTCTATATGTTTAAAAAAACTGGTTTTAAAAATTTTTTTGAATATTTTTAGGGGTTCCCTAAGACCATTGAACATATAATAAGTTCCTAAAATTATCAAAAAAAAATTCTTCAAATATGTATAATATTGGGTCTCAAATGAAGCATAATCATATGAAAATTTCAAAAATGATAATTAAATTATAAAATACTCCATTGAAAAAAATATTGTAAAAAAAAAATTTTTTTCTTTTTTAGTTAATAAACTTACTAGTAACTTTTAGTTAATGTCAAGTCTAACATATTTGTTTTTATAGAATATAGTAATCATTTTTTTTTGATAATTTTAGGAACTTGTTATATATTCAAAGGTCTTGAGGGACCCCTAAAAATATTTTTATCTCAAAAAATTTTTAAAACCAGTGTTTTTTTTATCATATAAAACACAATAATACACATATGTGTGTATATATATATATATATATATATATATATATATATATATATATATATATATATATATATATATATATATATATATATATATATATATATATATATATATATATATATATAAAGTTCAGTAGTTGTTACTGTAGAAATTAGGTTAAAGGTATCAAAGACTATTATTAAAATCTGTTTGACATATGATTGTATGACGAATAAATTGTCATGAATAGTTAATATAGTTTTTTTTTGCAACTCACCCTTTCATAAAAAATGTAATTATAACTGTTGATTATTATATAGCTGGTATTAACACAAATAAAAATTTCCTTTTCTTTCTGCTTTTTTGATGGGGATTAGTTAGGCTATAAGCATTCGAATCACAATTGTGAAATTGTGAAATTCAACATTTAAAAGTATAAAAAATAATAAATTGGTATAAAAGTAGCATATATTATAATATAGTTATAATATATTATAATATAATTCTTTTTTTTTATTACATAAATTAAATGTTTTATTCTTCTAGTTTTTTGAAACAAATAGAAATACTAGGGTTTGATGACTATATTCTTGATATTTTCACCAATATTAATAACATTGTCATAATTATCTGCATCACATACGTTATCGTCATCATCAGTTGCATTGCCATCAACATCTGTATTACTTAAATTGCTTTTATGATCTACATTACTACCATAATTAATTACATAATCATCATCATTCATCATTCAAAGATAGATCAATATTTTGTAGAATATTATTGTCATCAAATATATTACCTGATCTACTTTATTACAAGCATCACCAAAGTTTGGTTTATCTAGATGCCTCTATCAATAGTCACCTTTTAAAACTTTTAGTTTATGAGAATTATAATTTGGTGTTTGTTTTAGTTTGAGTTTTTTTCTTTTAGTTATTTTCAAAGTATATTTAAAATTAAAAAGGTTTTTTTTAAGTTAATAAGCAAGTTAATAAATATATAATACCAAAAAGTATTTATCAAAAGTAAAAGTGCTTGCATAAACAAATATAATAAACAAATCACAACATACAAATGCAATTTAAAGTATTTTGTAATAAGTATTTTTATAATTTTTGTTGACGTCTGACAATAACACTGTTGACACAGCATCTTCATTTATTCAATCAATCATTCATTCATTGCTATAGTTTTCTCAATATTAAAGCATTTATTTGTATATTTGTTCAATTTACAGAAAATTAAGTAATTCATACAAAAAAATCAAAATTTTAATAGTATTTATTATTTAAAATGGCATTAAATATTTTTCATAACGTAGACTCGTTTGTCGATGCTACATATGAAAATGGTGTTGTAATTGACGCGAAGGGTGAGTTGCAATATTAATGTCCTATTATTTAAAAAGTATATATAACAGAATTTTTTTTTTACCTCCTCTGCTACCACCTTTTTAAAAATATTTTAGTGTAATACATACCCTGTTAGTATTTGTTTTATAACAGATAAATTATTTACTTATTATTTTTTCATTTTCATATATATGTAGTTTATATATTAAATTTTATAATACTTTCCACAACCCAATCAATATTCTCAAGTTAAAAATATATTTGAAATAACGTTAGACACTAACTGTCATTTTTGATTACAGTGAAAAAACGACGAAATGTTAGTCAACATAATTACAAAGAAATACATGAAGGAACAAAGGTAATTTATTTTTTACTAAATATAGTAATAATCAATATGAAAACTTATAAATTTAGTTTAAATAAATTTGTGTGTGATTTTTATAAAATATATTTTTATAATAAAATAATAAATTTAAATATGTATAAATAAAAATAAAATTAAAAAAAATATATATATATAATTATGATGAAAATAGTATATATATATATATATATATATATATATATATATATATATATATATATATATTATATATATATATATATATATATATATATATATATATATATATATATATAAACATTATAATATAGTTACAACAAATATTTAGCACAAAATAATTAAGATAAATACTTAACACAATATAATTATAATAAATATTTAACATAAAAAATCATAATAAATACTTAGCACAATATAGTTATAATAAGTATTTAACACAATATAATTATATTAAATGTTTCACACAATATAATTATAATAAATATTTAATGCAATAAAGTTATAATAAATATTTAGTTTTTTATATATATATATATATATATATATATATATATATATATATATATATATATATATATATATATATATATATATATATATGTATATATATATATATATATATATATATATATATATATATATATATATATATATATATATATATATATATATATATATATATATATATATATATATATATATATTATAAACAACTTTAAAAAGTAAATTAAGATACAAAGCTAGATTTTTTATCAATAATTTTTATGTTTTAGCAAATCTCTGCAGGGTCAGTCATGTTTATACGCCAGCTGAAAACAAAAAAATTTATTGAGTAAGTATTTTATAAATTAATTAATAAACAACTGTTAGCTAACATGGTATTAATTAGTTAAACTTTGTTGTTAACATGACATTATCTTACAAAACTTTATATTTACATAACATTAGTTCATGTATAAAGTTTTAATAAAGTTTTACGAATTAATGTTATGTTACTAAAATTAAATAATAAATGTCATGTTACAATGCATCATGGTTAATGATAAGTGGTTTTACAGAATGGCTGAAATTAACAATCAGTTTTTCTTTTTGCTATAAGATTTATAAAATTCAGTATAAAATATAGGGACATATGGTTAGTTGCGTAGGATATACTTGAAATATGCTGATTTTATAATGGACCAACTCTTTAAATAATAGTGTGCTGGCTAAATGCCATACTTTAGAGTATTTAATCACTTAAGTTGGTGAAATAGGGTAACTAGGTTTTTTTCAGGGTGATTACAAACAACTAAAAATTCCACATTTAGTAATTAGATTTTGTTGCTGTGGTTCAGTGTTATCCCTAATTTGTTGAAAAGACAAAATATCGAACAAAAAAATATTAATTTTTATTATTTTTATCATGAATGGATAAAGTATAAACATTTAAACAAAAATTCAAATGGATGGAATATATTAGTACCATGCAGACCTAAATACTCAGTTTTTTTTAATTAATTTTTTCTCATTTTATCAAAAATTTACAAGTTTTTTTGTAACTCTTGTTAGTGAAGCTAGCATATTGAGGTTGTTGTAAATAAAAAATAAATAAAAAAATGGAAAAGAATAAGAAAAAAAAATTATTTTTTCAAACATTTTTTCTATATTTTCAATATTTTTTTTTAAGTTTTTGAAATGAATCAAAGTATTTTTTTATTAGAATTTTTTTTTTAATTTTCAGCATGTTTAATATGATTTTTATATGTCTATAGTTATGTGTTTATGAAGAAATCCAAGTTGAAAATAATAACATTAAATGAGTTTAGTTACTAATTAGTTAATAGTTTATTTACCAACTAGTTTTATATATTAAATCATCATTCTATTATGATTTAACATAAAAATCAAGTAAACAGTTTATATTTCAAACAAATTTTTTGTTTGATTTAAGTTGCAAAAATGTCATTCGATTTTTAAACAATGGTAATTCCTTTGATGTCAACTATTTGCAGCAGCATGGCTTTGATGTTCCTATTCTTGTAAAAGAAAAAACTGGACTTGGTCTTGTTGTCCCTCCTTCAAACTTTACTGTTTATGATGTTGAAAAGAGGGTAGGTAAGAAAATTTATTGCTGTTTTAAAGCTGTTTATATATATATATATATATATACAACCCTCAAAATTAGGGTGGGCTTTCGGCAATGCTGACCTAACTGCCGACGTGAATGTGTTTAAGGTTAGCAAAATATTGCCAATCTTATCTCTATGTTTTATGGTAAGACCTTTGTATCAAACTATTTTTGCTGACCTGATGCCGACCTCTAAAAGATTGAGGTCGGCATATTATTGCCGACCTCATTTTTCCTTATTCCGAGGGTTATATATATATATATATATATATATATATATATATATATATATATATATATATATATATATATATATATATATATATATATATATATATATATATATATATATATATATATATATATGTATATATATATGTATATATATATATGTATATACATATATATGTGTAAATGTATATATATATATATATATATATATATATATATATATATATATATATATATATATATATATATATATATATGTATATATATATATATTGTTGATAGGTTTAATATTGTATTTAAAAATAAACTTCTTATTCATAGAAAAGTGCTCAATAATTTATAAATTTAATTTAGATTTATATAATTATATAATTAAAATAAAGAAAAACAACAATTTATGGGACTTGAAGCTCAATGCTTTGTTGGCAAACATCAGCCATAAAATACAAATTCAAAAATTAAAAAAAAAAATTATTTAAAAAAAATAACAAATTGAATGAGTTCTTACATCTCTATAGCAATGTTAGATCTAACAAAAGAAAAAACATGATATAATAATGGTTGTCTAATCACCAGTGTCGTAGAGTAATATCAGAAATTTGTTTTTGTGTCTGCCCATAAAGACCATTATTCCCTGTTTGTTAAGTAAGTTAGTGCCTTTATAAAATATATATGTCTGGCAATGCCTAATAGATGGTATTTCGATTTAATAGACAATACAAAATCAAAAGTTTGAATTAATTAAATTTTTTCTTTATTTTTCTTTCCTAAACCAGAGAAATCACTCAGCCAAAAGAGTTTTTTTTTTTCTTTTGTTATGATTATTATTATATGTATTTCTTGTTACAACTCTCTATATACCCTATAAGTCAATCAATAACATCGTTATTCATCTTATTTAATTTCATATCACAAACATGAGCTTCTTATGTATTTTATGTAATTTCATATGACAAGCACAAGGCTCTCTTTGAATTTGATTTTTTTAATGTTACTAACACTGTCACTAATTATTGCTTTTTTTTTCTTTTTTTCCTAAAAAGTGCAATGTGATCTTTTATTTTTGATGCTTCCATAAATTATTTCAAGTGAATGCCATTAAAACCATGTAAGTTCAAATTCATATAGTTTCAACAGTTTATTACTGAAGTAAAATTGTTAAACTTGATAAAAAAAATGACCTTCTGATTCATAAATCTTCCAGACTTATTTTTTTGCAGAACTATAACTATTTGAGTTAAATAATTATTTATGCAGAACAGTTAAAAGTTTGCTGAAATTTAGGCAATCAACTGCAACATTTTTTTTATTTTCAAGAGAATTCGGTGTCATTATTAAAAAAAATTGTTTGTAACCTTTGATTTTGATTGGAAACAAACCAATTAATAGGTTTGGCAAAAATTAACTTAAATCTTATTTTTTAGTTAATTATTTGTTGATGTTAGAAAAGGGTTTATAAACCATCATAAACCTTAAAGAAATTGTGTATTTTTTGCAATCTTTAGCTTTGATAGACATGAAGTAAAATGGGGTTATCTTTAAAAAACAATAGCTTTAAAGTCTGTTTTAATTTTCTGCTTAATTTTAAGTACTAATTCTATGCGAAATGGTTATATCAGGGTTGCAAATTGCCAAAATGAACTCTAGATTTGAAAGTCAAATAAATCAAAATAATTCTTTCTTTCTGGGTTTTGGTATCCAAGAGTTCCAAAAATGTAAAAAAGGTTATGGGCTACTTTTAGGCAGAAAATTCGACCTTTATGTTAGAGAATCAAATTTTGGATCTGGAGACCTTATGTATAATAGCATGTATAATTTATGTATAATTTATGTTATGTATAATTATGTATAATAGCATGTATAATTTATGTATAATTTATGTTATGTATAATTATGTATAATAGCATGTATAATTTATGTATAATTTATGTTATGTATAATTATGTATAATAGCATGTATAATTTATGTATAATTTATGTTATGTATAATTATGTATAATAGTATGTATAATTTATGTATAATTTATGTTATGTATAATTATGTATAGTTATGTATAGTATAAATATGTATAGTTATGTATAATTTATGTATAAACTCCAGAACTCTGAGATAAAAAGTAATATGTTCCAAGTCATAAAAACTCATTAAATTTTTTTCTAATTGCAAATCATAAGTCAGTCAATAATTTTAGAGCTCCTGGACATTAGAGACCAAGACAAAATACAGATTTAAATCCAGAGTCCTTTTAGACTCCCAGACTCCTCATCTCTGGGTTTAATATATATTTTATGTTAAATAATAAATATATATTAAATAATAAATATATGTTAATAATAGTCAAGTGGTAAATAATGAGTAATAAAACTTTGATTCCTTTACATATAGTAAATCTAAATTTTATTTACTTTTATTATTTACTTTAAAAATGGCTGATCAAATATATATTTGTTTAACAAGTTTATATTTTGTATTTATATATTTTATTGTGTGAAGAATATACTTTTAAAGTGTTTTAGGAGTTCATATTTTATCAAAAGCATTAACTTAATAGAATAAGTTTTACAAGATTTGTAAAAAAATACATATTAAATCTTTCAAAACGATTTTTCTCAGGGTAAAACGGGGGTGTAGAAAATGCTAAAGAAAACAGTTTTTGTCAGGGTAAAACAGGGGTGTAGAAAATGCTAAAGAAAAAAACATTTAAAAAAATATCTTTAAACTATTATAAATGTAAAATATTTTGTAAAAAATTCAAGAAAAGATGAAATAACAGTATTGCAACTTTTTATTTAAAATCAAATTCCAAATTTTATTTAAAAACAAATTTTTTTATCAGGACCTTTATTTGACCTTCATGTGATAGATGTAGCCAAGCAGGTATTTTTTGTTTACTTTTTTTAAATACTATTTTGTGTTATACTATGACATTTTTTTATACTTGTTTTAGTTTTTTCTCATTTTTGTTTCTTCTGAAATGCAATAAACTGCAGTGTTTTACAATGCTGCTGTTTATTGTGATATTTTAAGAATTTTTTTATCCTTAGTTAAGAAAGCAAGAAAGGCCCCTGGTTTTGGGGCCTTTCTTGCTCAAACTGTTAACAAATATAATAGATTAAATTTTGAGGAACTGCAGTTTCTTCTTTTTTTTTTCTTTTTTGTAAAAATATTATTTTAGCTCTTTATAATTAGTTTATAATTGGTTAATTAGTTGTAGTTGTCAATCTTAATTGGTTGCTATTTTTTCTTCATTTTTTAGGAAGATTTAAGAATGAAGATGCGTGAGTGGACTGAATACTTTAATAGCCCTATTCGTGGAAGAGTATTGAATGTTATAAGTTTAGAATTTTCTAAAACAAGGCAATAATTTTTTTCTTTCTCAACTTTGTTTTGAAAATTTAATAATTTTTCAAATCATGTTATAAATATTATACATTTTTTACATTATATATACATATATATAATGTAAAAAATGGCACTTTTAAAGCTTCATAAATTAAGTTGACTGAGTGTTACGTTAAATTTTTTAAGTTTTGAATTTTTTTCAAATCTTCTTTTTAAACTTTTTAGTATTAATTTTATACTGTAGGTCACCCAAAAAAAATTCGCTTTAACTGCTTTATTTGATTACCCATCAAACAACAGTTTGTTTATTGTTGATGGTGTTTGCTTTGTGCTTTTGTAAACAATTATTTTTTATATACAGTCATACACAAGGTTATTTTTATAACAGGCCTTGCAATTGGGCAATTAAGTGGAAATACTGGAGGCTGATTTTTTTGTGGAAATTTTAAAAGCAAGTTGCCTGAGATGTTAGAAAATATAAATGCACTATGACTTGTAAGTGTTGTGTTACTTTATGCTTGTCTAACTATGACAAAAAGAATAAAAAATATGTATCTGTTTATCTTTTAACTAAAGACAAATTTATCTTGAAGAACTAAAACAAATATATTTTTGTTATATGATTATGTCCATTTATGGAAGAATATACAAAACAATTGTCTGAAAAATTAAAGAGATTGAATTTCAATTTGGTGAAGAAGTTTGTTGCTGATTGAAAAGATCTTGAGAAACTAAGATGTTTAGAATTAAACTCACTTATTAAATTATCTCATCTAAATGAGTGAGCCATATCTCCAAAGCCTGTAGAAAGGCAAAATGTGAAACTACTAATACATGTTTTTTGTGAAGAAACCCTGACAGCTTTGAAAACAAACCCAATTATAAATCAGGATCAAGTTAAAGATATTGTTTCTTTTATGCAAATTTTTATTGATGCATGAAAGTTATAAATGTACAAAAAATTTCTGATGATGTAAGATTGCAAGATCCTTTGCAAGCTGTCATCCGAAGTACTAAGATAACCGCCCACAATATTTATCAAAAATAGCAGAAATGTGCAAAAATATTGTTGCATAAAATGATAAAAATAGATTAAAAACTTAAACTTTGACAACAGCAGATGCAATATCTCACACATAACAACAGATGCATTATCTCACACATTAAGTGGTTTAATAGACTTAACTAGCTTTTTACTTGAAATTAGTCAAGATCATCAATTCATTATGCTCGGTGATTTTTTAATTGGTCCTTTAGAGAAAATTTTGGTAAATGAAGACAGTGTGCTGGTATTGCTTTATTTCTGCTCATCAAGCTGTTCAGAAAATTCATATTCACCATGCTTTATTACTACGAATTATAACTTTTATTTATATATTATTTACTATTTTATTACTAAGATTTGATGCAGACTTTTATGACTGCTCATTCATATATATATATATATATATATATATATATATATATATATATATATATATATATATATATATATATATATATATATATATATATATATATATATATATATATATATATATGAATACATTTTATAATCACCTCAAAATTTGATTCATCAATAAAAATGACCTTAGACCAATCTTCTACTGATCATTAAAGTCTTTAATCCTATCTGTCTTAAGTCTTTAGTCCTATATGTCATTCTTAAATGGGGTTTTCTTGCATCAATAACAATCAATACTTTTTTTATTAAGACACCTAACTGTGTTATAACTAACACTAGCAAAACCAGCTTTTTTACTAAACTTAGCTGACAGTTCTTAGTAGGTAGTTTTAGAATCTTCCTTTTCCCTTCAATACATTAAGCTTTCATCCCTAGAATTAGGTTTTGACAGGTTGCCAACTTATGGTGAATCTATTACAAGGTTTAAAAGTTTGTAGTTTTTCAGCCTTGTTTGAACACAGCATGATGAAACAACAAAATCTTGCTATTTCTTCATAACTTTTTGTGTTATCTTTGCATAAACTGATAATCTTGTTATTTCTTATTGATTTCAGTGTTGTTTGGACACAGTATAGTCAAATACCACATAATCTTGCTTTTTCTTATTGACTTTTTGTGTTATCTTTGGATAGACTATTTTCCATTAGACTTCTTCTGATACTGATTTTCTGCCCATCATTCTGCTTCAGGTGTTCCATAAATTTATGAATTTAAATATCTCTAGAAATGTAGGTTAGAAATTGATTTTTTTTTTTTTTTTTCGAATTTATTTGGTATTTATATTGGTCAAAACAGGTACACATTTTCAGGGTTCTTGTATAACTTATTTAAGAATTATTGCTTTTAAATTAACTGACCTTATAATTTTGACACATACCTCATAATTTGACCTTATTTTGACACATACCTTATAATTTGACACATTTTGACTTTATAATTTGAATTTTGACACATTTTTTAATACGTAATTGCTTTAGTAGTAGACATTATTTAACAGTAGTTGCTTTAATTTACCATTAAATTACTCAGAAGCAGATATATAAGACTGATAAGTGTTATATATATATATATATATATATATATATATTATATATATATATTATATATATATATTATATATATACACTTACATATATATATATATTTATTGTATATATATATATATATATATATTATATATATATATATATATGTTGTATATATTGTTGTAAGTATGCATTTATTTGTTTATGATTATATAATTTTAAATAATTATGGAATTTTAGCCTTGATGAATTAGTAACAGCACCAGAGATTGTTCGTAATATGTCTTGGGTAGAAAACACATGGCCAAAAGTTATAACTGAAGAAAAGTAATATTTTTAGCTTGTTTTAATTCATTTTTCATTTTTCAAATTTTACTATGTGTTGATTATGCCTCTATTCCAACTCTTTTAAATTTTTATAGAGTCTACCAGAATTTTCTAACTTTGATTCTGTCCTGTGTTGCAAAAATAATTATGCCCAGTTTCAATTTTTATTAAAAATGATTTGTTTTTCATATCCTTGCTCCATCATCACATTTCATATAAAAGTGTTTTTATTTTCATTACAATGTTATAAAACCAAAAATTTACTCCAAAATTATTTGACTTATATGAGGTCAGAATAAGTTTTTTTTTTTTTTTAATTTTGAGTTCACTTATAAAAGCTAATAAAGTTGCTATTTAAAGTTATAGACTTAGGTTTAATATTTCACTATAAATTTGACTTTAATGTTTAATTTTTGGTTTGTAAGTTTGTTAAAAAGGTCAATTTATAATAAAAACATTTTTTTTTCGCTGTGTGTAGACTGATGGTATGTACAAAAGGGCATACCAAACTTTTTAACTTTCATTAACAAAAAGTTTTATCTTAAAATTTATTTGTCTTTAGGTATATACTCTAAGGGAAGACAAATAAATTTAATAATTTTTTTGTTTAAAAATTTCTCATGAAAAATTGTTTCATATGAAAAATTTAAATTTATCAAGAGATTTATACCATTTTTTATTGCTTCTACATATAAATGTATTTACACTTTTACTTAATTTTTATTGATTCTGCATTATTGTACAAAATATTTTCTACAATGTAAACATTAATTTTTCTAGCATGCTTAATAAACTACTCCATCTAGTTTTACAGTCTAACATTTAAGAAAGTTTTTTTACAACAGTTTGTTTGATGTATTTTTGCAGTAATTTGTCATTTTTGGTTGGTGATTTTCTGAAAAGTTTTACAACTTTCCAATTTTTGTAATAATAGAATTTAGCTCTGCGTTTTGTAGAACAAGTTGGGTAGTGTTGATATCTTTGTGGTTTACTTCAAAATTTTCAAGTTCATTTTCAAAGTAATCAGAATCAGAATCAACATTAAGTAATACATTATCATTTACCATAACAGATGTACAAGATGTTCATTAACATCTTGTACATCTGTTGAACTAATATTATAAAGTACTTTTATGATTGCCATGTATGATACATAACTGATGATTTTTATTAAGTAACTTTACCGTTCTCTTGTTAACAGCAGCTCCATCTGATGTTATGCACACAATATTTGCAAAGCTATATTAAACTCTTTAAGCTTCTTTTCAATTATTTGTGCGCATACCTCAGCAGGTGCGGATCCATGGATCCATAGCTCTATGTACCCTTTTGTTTTTAGTTACATCTTTAAATCTTCAGGTGCAAAATTTATTGAAAGGAATTCCATCCTGTGTAATCATTCTTGAAAGTGCAGCTTCAAGAGATTCGTCTCTTTTTTTAATAATAAAAGTAATTTTCGATGCTATTGCAACTGCCGGTTCTTTCGTGCGTTCTTCTATATTTCTTTTTAATGCATTAATTTTATGACTATTTTGATGGGCATGTAAACCACTAGTACTTCCACCTGCTGTTTTGATTCATTTTGCGCATTGTTTACATATGGCTATATCTCTCATTATTCCTATAGTAATTCCAAATTGAACTTTTATCCATTAAAAGGTCTTAAAAACAATTTTTAAAACGAAATTAAAAAAAATAATTTTCTTTAATGATGAAAAGTTTGCAAAACAAGCCAACATCTATTTCAAACATTTTATAATTAGATTTGTTAAGTTTACTCAAGAGTTGTCAAGCAAAATAATGCTTTAAACCAGAGTTGTTAGTCCTTGGCCTTGACCTCGGTCTTGGCCTTGCCTTAAGGCCAAAAGTTGAGGCCTTGGCCTTGGTCTTGGCCTTGGTCTTGGCCTTGAAAATTTTGGCCTTGGCCTTGATTGTTTTGGTCTTGGCCTTCAAAAAGATACATTTTTTTTTTTTGACTTGATTGAATTCTGTGCATAACCTTGGCCTTTTTTTACAAAATATGTTTGTATTGTCACAGCACTTGCTACTTAACAGTTTTGTTAATAACTGGCCTTAACGTAAGGTAAAAATTGAATTCTTAGGTCTTTAAATGTTTGCGTAGGCCTTGGCTTTGAAACTCTTAATCGTGGCCTTGACCTTAAAACTCTTTGCCTTGTAACTTTTGGCCTTGACCTTGATATGTGTGTCCTTGGCCTTGCAACTTTTGGCCTTGTTAACAACTCTGCTTTACACTTTTATATTTTTAATTTTTAATCTATTGACAAGAAAATAAATAATATATTTAGTATTTATAGTTCTTTATTAGATAAAAATATTCAGCAATTAGGATTAAAACATACCAAAAAGCTTGATTTACCAGTAAATTACAATAATTTCTGTGTGTGTATATAATTAATTTCTGAACATAATTATTCTGAGTAGCAGAATTGAAAGAGAGAGAATTAAATAAATATATAAATATGATATATTTAAATTTTATAAGCAAATTATTTGGTATATCATTTGTTAAAAATTACCAAATACTACCCACAACATGTGTGAGTATTTTTAGCATACTCGGCATATAAGTAAACGTATAAGAAAGCATACTCTAACTTTTTTTTTTTTTTTCTTTTAAAGTTCTCACACACCCCCTGCTGTGATGAAGTACTGTCTAATGGGGGTAAAAGATTGTTATACAGACTTTCATGTGGATTTTGGTGGTACATCAGTGTGGTATCATTTACTACATGTATATCGAGTTAATTTTTTTATTGTCTGGTATAAAAAACAGTATTCTAAAAACAGTGGCTTATATAATAAATATTAATAATAAAATGCATAAATTAGAGACATAAAATGTTTTTTTAAATACATTTTTAATAAAATAGATCCAATAGTTATAAAGGTTTTTGTATAAAAAATGTTAATAACTCTTGCATCTACACTTGACATATTTTTGCAATCTAGTGTGTAAACTACCCAACCAATTTTTATTATTTATTTTTATGACTTCTAAGGGTGAAAAGGTGTTTTATTTTATTGAGCCAACAAAAGTAAATTTAAAAAAGTTTGAACAATGGGCATCATCCTCTGACCAAAACCAAGTATTTTTTGGTGATAAAGTTGACAAATGTTATAAAATTTCTTTGCAAGAAGGAAATACAATATTCATTCCTTCAGGTAATTTTCTTTTTTAGAGAAATACTTATACATAGTTAAAAGTTTTAATTATAAAATCATAAATAATTAAATTTTTTTAGGATGGATTCATGCTGTACTCACTCCAAAGGACTCCCTTGTGTTTGGTGGTAATTTTCTTCAGACGTTCAGTATTTCACAGCAGTTAAGGTGTTTTTTTATTTATTTATATCATTTCTATTTGTTTATAAACTTAAAATGTCTCAAAATACAATGAAAAAGGTTGTTTATATCTAAATTTTTGGTTATATGTTAAAACCATCATCAACATATCTAAAATAAATTTGTTCAATACTTTTCACTTTGTCTTTTGAGAAATATCCCAATATATATATGTATATATATATATATATATATATATATATATATATATATATATATATATATATATATATATATATATATATTATATATATATATATATATATATATATATATACATATATATATATATATACAAACATACATACATACATACATACATACATACATACATACATACATGCATACATATATCAGGCCTTGCAATGAAGCGGGAGCGATCGCTCCGTGCACATGAAACATGCCCATAAATGACCTTCTGGGCACGATAAATAGCACTGGTTTCAGGTGAACCATTTGCTAACTAAGGTTTTTTAGGGTCCATTTGACAAAAAACTCTGCTTAGCTAGAACTTTTACTTTGGATTGCATAAAAGTCCATGTAACAACTTGTAACATTTCAATAAAAATTTTAAATTTAAATGTTAAAAAATCAAATATCTAGTGTAATAATTTAAACTAAAACTTAAAAATAATTTATCAAAATATCTAAAATATCTAAAACTTAACTTAGAGCTTTAATCTTGTACAGGTTCGATCATTAATTCTATTGATTAATGACTATTATATTTAAACTTCAAAAACATCAAATAAAATTCAAAATGTTGTAACATCAAATATTTTTTGTCAAATATAATTTAATAAACTAAATATTTTCACTGATATCTTCAAATTGGTTAAGCCTATATTAAAGTCTATTTATTAAAAAAGTTGAAGCTAAACAAAACAAAAAAGAAAAAAAAAAGTTTCAATAAACAATACGTATTTAACAAAATGTATAACAAATATATTTGTTGTACATTTTGTTTATTGAAACTTTTAGAAGCATGCTCACAAAAAACAAAAGAAAAAAATGTAACGTAACTAGTTTCACGAATGCATTTCTCAAAATATATGTAAGTATAAAAATTATTTATTATACTATATTAGTTACTTATTATACTATTATTTATTATACTATTACTATATATATCGGGTGATTCATAAATGATACCTTTTTGTATTGATTAATTTTAGCCTCTGTAGTACAAAGTATGAACCGCACATGGTATTAAAAGATAGAGAATTTTGTGCTGAATAACGTACCATTCTCATTTTTTTTCTGCGCGCACGCAAGTGAATCAGTAACAATGAAAAGTTAAGACTGGCAAAATGTTGTAATTTCTAAGTATAAAAATGGTGATGGTGTTGGACCATCACCATTTTTCGTGATTTGAGTGGCACTCTTAGCTTACCAACAATCAAAAGATGGTGCAAAATGATTGCCAAAGATGGTACAATCAAACTTTCAAAACCTCCTGGTCGTCCTCACACAGCTCGAACAAAAGCAACTATCCAAAAAATAAAAAACCGGCTGAAACGGAAGAAAAAGCCAATTTCTACACAAAAATTGGCAAACGAACTCGATATTTCTCAACCAAGTGTTTATTGTGTTCTTAAATATGATCTTCAGCTTCGATCCTACAAAAAAGTTTTCCAACCACTATTATCCGATGACCACCAAGAAAAGAGAGTTAAATTTGCAAATTGGATTTGTAACAATTATCGAAAAGCTGATACGATGCGAATCCTTTTTTCTGACACAAAATTTTTTGATATTGATGGTATTTATAACTCTCAAAATGACAGAATATGGGCTTCAACTCGTGTTGAAGCTGATAGCATCGGAGGAATCAAGCAGCAAAGAAAATTTTTTGAATGTGTTATGGTTTGGTTAGGAGTTTGTTCAAAAGGTGTATCACCTTTAGTTATTTTTGAAAAGGGTACCGTTAACCATGAAAGGTATATTGAAGAAGTTTCATCAGTTGCCAAAAAATATGGCAATAACGTATTTGGTGAAAACTGCATATTTTAGCAGGATGGTGCACGAGCACATACACACCGATTGACACAACAATGGTGTCAGGACAATTGTCCTGATTTTATTCCTAAAGAATGTTGGCCTCCAAATAGCCCAGATTTGAACCCATTAGACTTTTCTATCTGGGAGGAATTTAATCATGCTATTGATTGGAGTCGAGTAAGCTCAAAAAAACATTAATCGGTGAGTTAAAACGTGCAGTAAAGAGAATTAGATTTAAAATTGTCTTAGAAAGTTGTAATTCTTTTTCAATTCAATTTTTTGTGAGAATGGTGGAAACTATTATTCAAAATAAAAAGACATTATCTTATAGAAAAAAATTTTCTCTATCTTTTGAATCTATTTTGAATGTTAGTAAATTAATATCTTAGTAAAAAAAAAACTGAAAAATAAATGGTATCATTATTTATGAATCACCCGATATATATATACTTACACTAATATTATGCTAATATATATTTTTATAAGTATATATATATACTTACACTAATATATATTTTTATAAGTATATATATATACTTACACTAATATATACTTGTATAAGTATATATATATACTTACACTAATATTATTTATATACTATATTTGCATAAGTATATATATATATATACTTACACTAATATTATTTATATATATATTTGTATAAGTATATATATATATATACTTACACTAATATTATTTATGTATATATTAGTATAAGTATATATATATACTTACACTAATATATATTATATTAGTATAAGTATATTATATAAGTCAAAGACTTATATAATATACTTATAAGAAATATATAAGTCAAAGACTTATATATTTATTAAGTATATAATCAAGTGTATAAAAAATTATTCCATTGATAATAAATAAATCATTCAGTTTTCGCATTCAGTTTAATTTATAAAGCAGTTTTCTGTTTTGCACAAACAATGAAAAGAAAGTTATTAAGTCATAACTGCTAACAGATAGAATGGAATTTTTACTATTTTTAAAAGGTTTCATCTCAATCAGAATAGAAAATATCAATTAAAAAATCAAAAGATGATTTTGTAAAAATTTCACAGATCTTTAGTAAATAAAAGAAATATTCCCATATATCTTTTTTTCATTATTATTATTATTATTTATTTTAAATTAAATTAAAAACGTTTCTGTTTTTTCGAATGTTCGCAATCAAGCATATTAATTCAATTCCAAAAGGAAACAAAGTTATGTTGTCAACTTTTAGTAAATGGCGCTTTTGAGTGACCTCCTCAATATACCTGTGTACGTAATTTATGGATGGCCCCATTGCAACTGATTTCCAATTCTGAATATTGCTCTCAAAGACTAGATGCCGAGCGCGC